ATTGTCATGGTGCAGCATCCAGGTCTTGTTTGTCCACGCCTCAGGCCTCTTCCATCGTACTGCCTCCCTCAAATGCTTAAGGATCTCCAAGTAAAACTCTATATTGGCTGTCTGGCCATGTGGAACAAACTCATGATGAACGACGCCATTCCAATCAAAAAAGACGATCAACATCTCCACATTTCAGCAACTCTGACATCCAGATTTGGGATCGTCTTCGGTGGATGTTCTTCCCCTTTCGAAACGTTGGTACCACACGTGACATTGCATATGGCTCAAACAATCCTCCCCATAAGCCTGTTGCAACATTTGAAAAGCCTCCTTAAAAGTTTTCCCAATTTGAAATAGAATTTCACGCAAACACGTTGCTCTTCAAAGTATTTGTCGGCTCCAAAATATGCTGATATAAGTTATAAAAAAAAAAAATTTAAACCAGTTGCTCATGCACTGCTGCTTGAAAAATTTTAAATTAGGAAATTGACAGCAGATATTTTGTCTGCAATTATGATGTGTCAGTTATTAACTAAGTTTGCGCTGGACTACGAAGAAAATTCAGAAGTGGACAAATGTTTCGCTGCTGCTTTACAAGGGACCCCATATATTTGATATGTTGTTGAAAACCCTAACACTAAAGTCCAGCTAAGGGAGCAAGCCACAAATAATGCTTCAAGTGGTACAGTAGTGCTTATTTATCGCTAAGTTCTTCCTGTCTTTCTCCTGTTTTGTTTGATGAACAATCATTGGTTAAATATAGATCAGCTGTTGAGCAAGATATTAATATTACTGTTCCCAGGAGTCCTCTGACCTTTTGGAAATCTAAAAGAGGAAGGTTTTACAGGGGAACAGGACCAGCTGCTCGGTTCAGTTATCAACCTAGAGAAAACTTTAGAGGAGGAAATAATCAAAGACGTAATAGGGGTGACCGTTTGTTCAGAAGCGGAAGGAGACCTTATTCGACCACATCAGCATCCACTCCCTTCCAATGAAGCCAGACAGCTGGGTCGTCTAGGGGGTTGGGAAAACAGATGGACTTCTTCCATATAGGCTTACAAGACAATCAAAGGGGGCCTCACATGGACTTGGGTGAGGCTCCCTCCCCTAACGTTTCCAAAAAAGGGTAAAAAAACAACCCCCATATTTACAGAATTTGTAATTCAATTAATAAACAGAGGTGTCATAAAACTGTTACAGTCAGAGAAATGTTTCATGTCTCGCCTATTCCCAGTCCTCAAGAAAGGCAGCAACAAATTAAGATGGATTTTGGATCTTTCAGTCCTGAACAAATTTATTACCCAAAAAAAAAAAAGTTTCAAGATGCTCACTTACGATCATCTGAGGCATCTACTTCCACCCAATGCTTGGATCTCAAAGTGGATCTCGAAGATGCATATTATCACGTTCCTGTTGCCCCCAGGTACAGAAAGTTTCTAGTGTTCAAAGTGGGGGATGTACGTTATCAAATCACAGTGATGCCATTCGGTCTGACAATTGCACCAAAAGTCTTTACAAAACTGGCAAATATTCCCAGAAAGATCCTTGCAAAGGAGGGCATAAAAACCTTTGCTTATCTACACGATTGGCTGATAGTGGAAAACTCTTTCGAAGATTGTCAAAGGGCGACCCAACATACACTAGTACTATTTCAAAACCTGGGATTAAAGATAAACCAGGTCAAATCAAATTTAATACCATGTCAAAAGTGGGATTGGTTAGGTCTCCAGTGGGATACAAATCAGCAGTCAGTCAGTCAGTACCAGAAGCAAAAGTAACAGATGTGATAAACCAAGTAGAAGCCTTTTGTGTAAAGCACAAGGTTTCTTGGCACAATTGGGAAAAACTTCTGGGTCTGTTGAATTTTGCCACAATAGTGGTTCCATTGGGAAAGTTAAGGAAAAAGCAACTATCCCATCTGGGCTCGAAGTTGCTCCACAGAAGCAGAAATATTGCTTCTTCTCTCCCTATTCAGATAAAGAATCATCTGTTATGGTGGACAAAGTTGGACAATCTAATCGGTTCCTCTCCCTGGGTTCCGCCTCAAACAGGTATGGTCGTTTGTACGTATGCGTCCGAAATAGGATGGGGATACCATTCCTCAATAGGGGAATTCAGTCAAGGGGACAAACACATAAATGTAAAAGAATTAGCAGTGGTCCTATTCTTTTTGTCGGTAAACCCAAATTTACAAAGTATAACGATCCTGTTTGCCATGGACAACAAAACGGCAGTGTTTTGTCTCAATCATCAAGGCTCAACCAGGTTTTGGCCCCTTCTACAACTGTCAGAAAAAATCTTCAGTGTTTGTGTAACACAAACACTTTACCTCAAAGCAACTTATATACCGGGAGTATAAAACAATTGGGCAGATGCGCTGTCCCGTCTCCGGCCAGTATCGAAAGAAACAGATGATCCCTAAAGGTATCAGAGTTCAAGAGTCTAGTGAAGAAGTTTGGGACTCCAAAGATAGATCTGTTTGCCTCCCTAACAAATTACAAGATGCAACTTTATGCATCTCTGGAGAGGTCGAATCTTTTAGGAAATGCCCTTCTCTTACATTGGAACCTTTGGAATTCAATCAATCTGTTCCCACCTGTGAAAATATTGCCCAAAGTGGTTCACAAATTCAGATCCTTCCAAGGCAAGGTCCTCTTAATTGCACCATACTGGATCATACAACCTTGGTGCCTAGATCTGTTGGACTGGTGCCCAAATCCGCTACAATTGCAACAAGGATGTCTATACCAGGTACTACATTCTCAGTTCGAGATATCCTTGGCACTTCACGCTTGGAGTTTCTCAAAAGGAGTTTAAATAGGTTGTTGGGTAATCCCAATATAGCTAACCAAGTATTAGCAGGTCAATAGATCTCAAACTTCTATGCAATATGAGAAAGCTTGGAATCTTTTTCAACAATTTATCAAGTTAACAACTCCAGAATCATTGTCGGAAACAGTTGTGTTAGAATTTTTAGAATTTCTGTTCAGAGTTAAAGGCCTTCAAGGATCGACGATTGCATCTTATAAATCAGCATTGGTTGACCCTCTGGTGTGGGGTTTTAATATTACTTTGAACCCAAGGATTTATTAAATGCTAAGATCGTCCTTTTTCATTCAGAGACCCCCTCGGCCTAAGAGAATCCCACCTTGGTCTCTGGAAAAAGTTACTAAATTTCTTATGGGGCCTAATTACAATATAAATCTGAACAGGGATAAATTACTACCAATAATCCATCATTATTGGTATTCTCTGAGTAGGATGTTACCCTTTTTCCTACGGAGATCCTAAGAAAAAATGAAAGGGAAGATTTCCAAGCTCAACCTATTAGGATAAAACACCTAATGGATGAGACAAGGGTTCCTCATATATTGTGCCCAGTTAAAAATCTTCAGGAATGGTTATCCAGATTCCCTAATCAATGCCCCTATGTTTTCTCATCCAGGGATGTTAAGAAATTGTCTTCTAGTCAAATGACAAAATCTTTATTTCAATTAGTGAATCTAGCAGACCCTGGCAAGAAATTTTTGGCACATGACACTACGAATACACAGGGTCTGAGGCCTTTCTGCGGCATATGAGCCTCAGTCAGATCAAGGAAATGGGCTTTTGGAGATCGTCAAAAACTTTCAAAGACAACTTCTCCATCAACATAATAAAGTGAGTATCCTAATTGAGATATGTAAATTAACATTTTACCTTCCGGTAAATGTTGCTAATTTTGGAAATATTCTACACGGTTTATAATCATAATCTGGACCTAAGTTAGCAGAGCCTTGTATGCAAAGTCACCTCCCTCTCCACCTCCTGCTCGGGTATTCAAAGCTAAGCGTTGCATTCTGAGGTTGAACAAAAAGCTGTTTTTTTCTAAAAACCAGTTTTTGTGATATAACCCAGAATGCGACGTCGATAACCCACCCATCTCCACCCCTCGAGAGTTGACTTTTGTTTACTGCTCGCTCTAAGGCAAGAGATGACGGTGGCAGTGCGTGCGATGGGGGGTGAGGGGGGGGGGAAACAAAAGGCCCGCCAAGCTGCGACTGTTTATGCTAGTGATGCTGACGTCACCACTCACAAGCCCAGCAGCCTCCGTGCCCAAGGCTTTTTTTTTCTTTTTTTATATACATATCGGAAAGTAATTATTATTTATATGAAAATGTATTTATTTTATTTTATTCGATTTTCGTCGTAAATACGAAGAAAATAATGGCATAAATTGAATTGGGTCCTAAATTAACCAGGGTCTTAAATATGAATCGTCGTTAGTAAAACCGTCATTATCGAAGGCTATCCGTTACAGTATTGTTCAAACACACACATCATCTTGTTATATCTACTGTATACTGTACAGTACCAGGAACTTTCAAAAAGGCCCACTGGACATATACACATTATTAGAAATGAATTCTATAAAAAGGAAAGTGTAAAAATATACCAGTACATAACACAAAACAAAACTAAGATATAATGTTGCACAGGCAGTCCCTGACTTACGACAGGGATACGTTCCTGGACCCTGATTGTGAGTTGATTTCTTTTGAAGTAAGAACAGTGTTAATTCTATAGTTTAGGTTAGGTTAAAGCACAACCCTGCCTATACAAAACAACAATAATATCCTATACATAACAAATAATGTAAATACTGTAAATAAAGTGAGGTTAAACAATACAGAATAATGAAAATAATGTAAAAATTTGGATTTCAATTAAAAATTTTTGCAATGAATGTAATGGGATCTCGTTCGTAAGTGTGGATGATTGTAAGTCAGACGGTTGTAACTTGAGGAATGCCTGTAATTAGGATTAATCAGCCGGACACCAGATATCCAGTTGATACAAATAATCGGGTATCCGGTATCCAGCTATCCGGGAAATTTACAATCCGGCTCATCCCTAGACATGTCTTGCTGGAATGGATATATACATACACAACCATAATGGGTTAAATAGTCAGGGAATTTGTCAGAATTCAGTCATGGCAACCATATGTAAGGAACTTGTCAACATACTTGGATATAATGATTATGCAACTGCTGTAGTCTCTCAAGCCCACTACTAAGAGTTGCTGACTCATTTTCTAGTTCTTCTTGTTTTTCTTGAACCAGCACCATATCTTGTGGTCGCACACCTTCATCAAGCTCCAAAGTATGTTGAAAATCCTGTAACAAAAATATTTTTCCATTGACAAAGAGCATTCTCCCCTACATATCAGTATGTATCTCTAACACACCTTTATAAATTCCTCCCCTAGCACTCTTTCTCATGCACAAACAGCTTTTTCTATCATTCCACATGATGAATTATAGTGACAAATACAGTATTATCTCTCTATACCAAAATAATTGATGAGCAGTCTGATATAGGGAGTCCTTCAGTAGAAAACAAATTTGAAAAACTCATCCAATACTAAACTTTGTTCGGTATACTTATCCCCCCCCTCCCCCGTATTTGTGAAATCCATAAGTGATATCTCCATTAGCCAGAACAATTGGTGCAGAGTACTTCCAGGGATGAGAGCTTTCCAGTTGTGCAGACAACTTTCTCAAATCCGGAAAAATTATTTATACAGTGATCCCTCGGTTAACGAGCGCCTCGGTTAACGAAATTTCGGTTAACGAATTACCTTTCATAAGATTCTTCACTTCGGTTAACGCGCAATCCCTCAATTAACGAATTCCTTACAAGCGCCCATCAACATGTTTTCGCTTGCTCACTAGCTGTCGTATTAGTCCGCCAATACAGTAATCGGTTCTAGGGCTTAAATTCCTTACCATTTTAGTAAATGTCAAGAAGGTTGCACTATTCAATCATTTTAAAAATTCTATTGTGGGGTACGGGATGTTTTGGTTCACACTCAGGATGGGATGGAGAAAGGAAACTCACAATGTGCTCTCTGTATACATGTTGTATTGGATGTACAATGCAGCTTGGTGCTGGGAAGTGGCAGCGTGGTTACAAGCGTGATGTAGAGAGAGCTGGTTGGTGAGGATGCTCAGAGGAGGACTAGCTTGTGGGTCGCCATGCTCGCCGGCGGGAGCGAGGGCCGCCAGGCAGAAGCGGAGGAGGTGGTGTTGCTTGCTGCGGCTGTAGCTAGAAGAAGAGATTGGTCACCACAAGGTCAGGTCTTAAATAGTGGAGGTAGGCGTGGCTTAGTAGTTGACCTCCGTCATGTAAGGCGGCGCTGGTTGACCTAGACCACGAGGCATACACTGGGGAATTCGCGGGGTCGGCTACTCAGCGACAAACAGCGTTTGTAGGGGAGAAATCCACTACAATACTCCCTCCTTCCCTCCAGGCGGTGTAGGAGACTTGTTGTCTGCAGGGTTGCATGGCACATGTGAGGCAGAACAGGCGGTGCATGCCTCATGTGAGACATAACGGCGAGGGCATAGATGAGCCGGCTGCTAGAGGAGACAACTGTCTAGATACACAATATCTGTGGGAGTAGAGAGGGAGAAAAGGGTGTGTGGAGGTGATGAATGTTGTGCTTCCCTCACGGCAGGTACAGAGTCGTCAGATGCGCCTGCTGGGGTGTGTGGGCCTGGGTCAGGAGCAGGGGCTGCATCAGCAGAAGCGGATGAGGGCTTGTGACAGTAGCTGGGTCCACGACAGCAGCAGGGTGCAGGACAGTAGCAGGGAGTAGCTGAGGGAGAAAAGAGGGGTGTGTGGGTCCGCACTCAGGCGCATGGGCCGCGTTGGGAGCAGGGGCTGCATCAGGAGGAGCGGCAGGGGGAACTGCTGGGCCGGGGGCGGCATCTGAGGCAGGACGGGTGTACTGGGGTCGGTAGGACGTGGTGCTTGGGGCAGGAAGAGGAGCTGGTGTCTGCTTAGAGAAGCAGTGCTGCTCTAGGGTGTCTAACCTGCGGTATAGAGACAGTAGCTGTAGAGCCAATGAGAGTTGCTTCTGGGTGGATAAGCCAGTCGTCCATGTTGCTTGAAGACTGGGAGCGTGATCTGTTTCTCCTCCATCCTGTGTGAGTGCGAATCTCCGGGGGTCACCATTTGTGGGGTACGGGATGTTTGGTTCACACTCAGGATGGGATGGAGAAAGGAAACTCACAATGTGCTCTCTGTATACATGTTGTATTGGATGTACAATGCAGCTTGGTGCTGGGAAGTGGCAGCGTGGTTACAAGCGTGATGTAGAGAGAGCTGGTTGGTGAGGATGCTCAGAGGAGGACTAGCTTGTGGGTCGCCATGCTCGCCGGCGGGAGCGAGGGCCGCCAGGCAGAAGCGGAGGAGGTGGTGTTGCTTGCTGCGGCTGTAGCTAGAAGAAGAGAGTGGTCACCATGAGGTCAGGTCTTAAATAGCGGAGGTAGGCGTGGCTTAGTAGTTGACCTCCGTCATGTAAGGCGGCGCTGGTTGACCTAGACCACGAGGCATACACTGGGGAATTCGCGGGGTCGGCTACTTAGCGACAAACAGCGTTTGTAGGGGAGAAATCCACTACACTATATTAAATTTTTTAGTCATTTTAACAATTATTGAACATAATTGAAGTACAGGAAACTAGTTTTATGCGCGCCAAACAACCACTCAACACACCAAGCTTGGCGTCAGTTTGTTTACAGATTCAGAGGAAGGAACATCTTGTTTGAGACTCTTCAACATATATGCTTTTTTTCTGTTTCCAGTCAAATTATTGGTCATTTTGAAATATATTTTACATATTGATAATATATAGTGCAGTACAGTGTTGATTTAAAGAAAATAATCTTGAATTACACCAAGTGAACTAAAATTTTATGGGTGAAATGGCGGCATGGGGTGACTTCTCTTCCACCCCAATGCCTTCTCTTCTCCCTTCTCCACTCCCATTCAAATTCCCATCATCATCATCATCAACCAGGAGCCTTCTACATGCACACCTCAAAGTAAGTGTACTTTACTGCATTTATTTTTCGTTTTTATGTAATTTTCGGTGAGCTGGAACCAATTACCCAAAAACCCATTGAAACAATGGTTTTGGTTAACGAGCAACCTTCTGGAACGAATTGTGCTCATTAACCAAGGGACCACTGTACCCAGAATTTTTTCCAGTTACAGGGAAAGTTCTTAGTAGATTTAAGTACAAGTTTCTCAACTAATATTTTTGGGTAGATATATGTAACTTTCTTCATTTATTTTCACTCATTTGCATGCACACACCATCCTAAATGCATAATGTGAAAAAATGTAAAAGATATAATTGTCCTAAGGGCAAACCTATACTGTACTCAAATGTACTAAATAATTACTAAATTTTTGTCTTGTGCAAACTATAGCATGTTTATATTCAAATTAATCACCATCTTATTAGAATTCCAGTAATGTGAGATATATTCTCCTAAGTCAGTTCAGTGACATTTTATAATCGAAAAAGTTAAACTCCCTCTATGTGACAGATAAATAAATACCACTAAGTAACCTTCAGTGCCGGCTGGTCAATACCTCACCCAACCTTACCCCCCCCCCCTTCCTTCCTCCTGCCTGGCAGTCAACCTCATCTCCCCTTTCTCAGGGTAAAATTAGTTTTAGGCTTAAAGTTCTTACTCTTATAAAATTTCACAGACTAAGCTTAGCAGAATATAACTTGCATTGCTGGAATCCTTGCAAGATAGTGAATAATTTGAGTGCAGACATTAAATATTTTGCAAAAAAAATATATAAAAATTTTAGTCCTTTGGTGTACAGTGGTCCCTCGGTTAACGAGCACAATTCATTCCAAAAGGTTGCTCGTTAACTGAAAAACTGGTTAACCGAAACCATTGTTTCAATGGGTTTTTTGGGTAATTGGTTCCAGCTCACCAAAAATGGCCTAAAATCAACAAAAAAGGAAGTAAAGTACATTTACTTTGAGGTGTGTATGTATAAGGCTCCTGGATGATGATGATGATGATGATGATGATGAGAATTAGAATGGGGGTGGAGGAGAAGGGAGAAGAGAAGGCATTGGCGTGGAAGAGAAGTCACCCCATGGCGCCATTTCACCCATAAAATTTTAGTTCTCTTTGTGTAATTTAAGATGATTTTCTTTAAATCAACACTGCACTGCATTATATATTGTCAATATGTAAAATAAATTTCAAAATGACCAATAATTTGCTTGGAAACAGAAAAAAGCGTTTAGTTGAAGAGAGTCTCAAGCAAGATGTTACCTCCACTGAAAAGACAGAGACTGACGCCTGTTTGGTGTGTTGACAGGCTGTTTGGCGCGCATAAAACTAGTTTCCTGTACTTCAATTATGTTCAATAATTGTTAAAATGACTAAAAAATTTAATATTAAACATTTAAAATTATTAAATAGTATAAACTTCCACCCTTGGGTTTCTATTTGTTCTCAGCAAAAAGGCCAGAGTTGAGTTTGTCTCTTCATAACTTTATTTGATGTCCTCAGTAGCGGGTTCCGGCGAACTTTAGCGAGGCTGCTAGACTTAGCATTCCTTCCGGAATGTTGACCTTCTGGTCTTACTAGCAATCTAGAGTTATGTTGAAATGGACTTTACACTTTCTATGGGTTATATGAGACCAATTCAGGGTGGAATTCTCAACCCAATGAATATTGCTAGAGTAACAGTGAACGTTGCTGCCAATAGAGCGCTATGTTAGCGGCTCAACACTGTCAACCCTGCTGGGTGATAGTGCACACATAGGAATTTTCCCTTAAGCATTTACTTGGGGATAATGTCTGTGCCCCTGATTGGCAACAAATAAAGATCTTGATGATCCCTCTCAATAAATGTTCTGAATGAAATTATTTTATAAAAACAAATTTAAACTAAATAAGTTTCATTGAGCTAAGGGATACTTGATAAATAAGAGTCGGGAGACAGATATGAAATAGTGAGTTATTGTTTATATTTGTCATAGGAGTGACTTGTGTATATCATTATCTTACAAATAATATAACATTTATGAGTCATATTGATTAAGTTTGGGAGAAAATGCTTTCTCCCTTAATTATTTTTATTACTTTGTGTTATAATGATATAATGTGACTCATGGTATCCTCCTAGTTCAGGTGAGTGATGTGCAACTGGAGGATGAAGGTCAGGAGTCCGGGCCTATGGATAACGGAGGAGACTATGGAACTGTCCCTGAGGAGATACTATTGAGTGATGAGCTACAAGGACTAGAAAGTTCAGCTCAGGCACTACATTCAAGGAATTGTCTGTGAGT